TTGAATTGCAGGTACACTTTTTGTACTATGTTTGTATGTAGTTATTTATGTACTAAGTATTTAGGTATATTTGCACACTTACTTGAGTAGAGCGAGTACTCATCGTCTTCTAGCCATTTTTGTACAAAAATTGTTGTATTTTTATTGTTGTTGTTTTTATTTAAAATTTTCACAATATAATACACACATATATATATATATATAAATTAATTAGGTCAGTGAGAGTACATAATAAGTATTTATTGATTAAGACACAACGTCGATTACACAAAAAATATTGTGATGAAGAAATTAAATTGAAGCAAAAGAAATCAAAACAATATTTTTATTAATGATAAATTAAAAGAAGCAACTAAATAGTACACAGATTGAGTGAAAATATCACTAAAAGAGGTAATGCTGGCGGGTGTAAATGAGAAACGAACGAAACATGAGGATGTCACAGCGCAGCAGAGTGGACGGGCGTGTTTCCATCTTTTGTGTAAATATACATACTTATGTATGTACACATATATGTATATGTATCATTCCGTGTTGGATTTTTGGCATAATATAAAGCTTTTTTTTTTTTTGATGACCATGGTAAACAGTTTTTTCAGGACAGGAGAACGATTGTGGCGAAGCACCACTAAGCACCTTTGTGAAGCTAAGAACTTATTGCGTGGTATAAACTGAGAATACATACATACATATATGCAGGAAGAAACCTGAACTCGCAAAAATGGCTTGCCCTCACTACAACTCAATTCAGAAGCAATCAATTTTGATTTCCTCTTTTGCCAATTAAAAAAGAGAGCGCGCTCTTGAAGATTTTAAATCAAATAAAAATCCCCATCAAATCCCCACATCCCCAAACGAAAAAATTTATCCCCAAATGATTTCAGAAATCCCCAAAATGGGGCGAAATCCCCACATCTGTCACCACTGCTCCTCATAAATGAGCGTTCTGTCGCTTCTGCGCATCTGATCGTGAGGATGGCTCACAAAGAGCTGAGGAGAGTTTAGATTTAGTGAGAACTGAGTATGAGCACACGCACTCTTCTCAACTTGGCAACGCTTTGAATTCTTCTATGCTTCTAGGCAGTGTTTGGAAGAGTAGATGGGACAATAGACTCGGTGAGTCGCAGTGCATACTCCTGTTTGATATCTAAGTAACTATATATCTCTCTATCTTGATCAATGTATATATAATCCGATACTCGTATTAGTTTCAGATGTCCCAAACAAACTGTTTATTCACATCCTGGGACTAGATTCTTTAACTGTGAGTTTTAGTTAGTGAATGGTTGTTCGTTTTGCACTCGGTGTACACTACATTTTCTCAAGTTACAGTATCCAGACCCTGGACTCTGTTTGAAAAATTCCTGAGTAAGAGATTGAGTTTGAGAATAAGATTACGCAGAAAAATACTTATATAATTTGCAAAAAGATTTTTTGTTAAGAGTTGCCACTTGTTAAAAAATTTAATTCAAATTATTTATCAAGTTAAATCAATTATTACGATACGGGTATAAATATAAATGTTTCTGAAGAGGGTTTCCTTATTAACTACATGTAGGAGGGTTGCCACCTGTTTAAAAAATCAAATCCAATTTAAATTAAGGTAACTGAGATGTATGTTAAAATTTGGGTATCAGACGAAGAGCTTTAAAAAGGTTTTAGTTTCAAAATATTTTGAATAGGGTTGCCACCTGTTTGAAAATTCTAATTCAATAAAAATTTTGCACAAGTTGTATGAAATACTAAAATATGGATGTCAAAAGAAAGAATGCCCAGAAATCTTAAGTGTGAATATTTATAATAATTTTGAGGTGTTTGAAGAGGGTTGCCATCGGCTCAAAAACTTAATTTAAATAATTATTTTGATACATTAAAAGATCTACTAAAATATGGGTCAAACGAAATTTTTTTATTTTTCAATTATATTTTACAAGGGTTGCCACGAATTTGAAATAATCAAATGCAAATTAATTTATCAATTATGATATAGCTAAATATGAGTGTCAAACCAAGGAATTTTAATAAAGCTTTAGTTTGAGAATGCTTTTATTAGGGTTGCCACCTATTCGGAAAGTCTATTTGATGTATATATATAATATACATATATAATACGCGAAGGAGTTTATGTGAAGATCATAAGATCTGCACCGTTCGTTTGAATTTTAAGAATTAGTAGATGTGAAATAACGTTTCATTTTTTGAAGTTGGAACAGGGTGATTTGAAATCAGAGAAACTGAATAATGCGAGACTTCAGCTCACTCAAAAACGGCCGGACGGATTAAGATGAAATTTAGCAAATGGGTCGCTTATAAATCAGACTAATATTTGAAATATTTTTTAGGAGTATTAAAGTAAATTTTGGCGTTTTAAGGTCGTGCGGGTTCACTAGTAATGTAATAATACTGGTAATATATGAAGATGAAGTTTTACTTCGATTGCGTGTTGGATCCACACACAACACTTTTGTTTTTAATAAAAGCCCTGATTTTCATATTCGAGGTATTGTTGAAAAGATTTTTATTCCTTTCTTCATTTCAATTAAAAGATTAGTGCATTAACACCTCAATATTTTGTTGGCAGGCCACTTTTTTGGAAAATTTTGGAATCAAATGGATACATTTTGTCTTGCTACTATGGAAATTCTTTACGAGCTTCACATGCTTCCATTTTTTTACATATCGGTGAGATATTGTAAAAATGTCATGGGGATGCCTGATTAAATTTACGCAATAAACACAAACCTTCTTTCTACGCTGCTCGTGTGACCAATTATGGATATACAGTCACAAAAAGCTCACAAAGAAGACACAAAGCAGGTAGTTCGGGAAGTTGATCATCATTCGTATCACGGTATTTCTTGGTATGCTAGGTACCAAGTCTGGTTCTAATAAAAACAGAATAATTCGATAGGCCTATTGCGCACCCACCGAACGTTTTATGATGTGTCTGTGGGAAGATCAGCCCCAAGTATTAAAAAACCTATACCATAATTAAGTTAGCGCCATTCGTGGATACTGACCAGCAAACATGGACAATAATTCATTTAATTTGTATTTGTATTTATATTTCTTTGATGTTTTTCCCAGCACAACAATTTAACAAAATTATTTTACAGTGCCAGTCAAAGAATGTACGAAATTTCTTTTTGAAATGCCAGGAGCAGTACTACTTCATGTAGATGTAATATTCCGCAAAAAAACATATACATATATGAAATTTTCAGGGACACCCTTCCTTATAACCGAATTGATCGTGAAATTTGTACATTTTTGCTCAAAATATTATTTAAGCAAAACGCAAAATTTTAAATAACTAAAATTTTTAATGTAGTTATGTAAACTAAAGTATTGAAACAGGAAACAAATAATTTTTTTTAAATAAAGGAACGAAAAGTTTAGATGAGTGTGAAACAATGATGAATACAAGTATACAAATATTAAATTTACACTTTTTATTTGGTGAGATTTTGTGTGTTCGTGCCAGTTTAACTCGGTACCCCAAATTTTGATTTGAAATGTTAATTGTATATTATACAGAGGAAAACTTTCAAATTCTTACGAATAGCAGACAAAAAAGCCAGAATGTGGCACGAAATATGATAAAACATATAGAAAAATGAATATAGAACGATTACGAATATGACAAAAGAAAAACAAGAGAAAACACTTCAAATAAATATGTTATGCTGTTAGTTTTATGTACTTATGTATGCATGAGCATGTAAATATATGTATGCACTAAAGTAAATGGACACAGATATTCGATTGTATAAGTACTACATACAGACAATGCGCATGAAGAAGGAATGAGGAACATAATTAGTAGTAAATACTATGTATATACTTATGTACATAAATGCATATGTACCTGTGTATGTAGTGCCTCTACGCCTGGGTGTCAGTGCGTATGAGCAACATACAACTTTTGCTTTTCGCTGAATGGAAAAGGCTAAGCTAACTTATTTGATACTAAAATTTATGCAAAGCCAATTTGTTAAAAATTTGCGATAGATATCGAGCCCTAACCGCCAAAATAACGTAAGCGACATTTTATTTTTCAAAATTTTATTTTTGATGCAGAAATATTCCTAGGACATCTAGATCGGTTAGGGCTTGATATGCTTGTTTTTAGCTTGAATCGCGAAAATGCTGCTAAATGAATTTATTTGTTTTTTTTTACAACATTTTAAGCAACAGACACTAACACACACGCACACGCACTTATGTATTATGTATAAATACATACATATATGTACTTATATTACTAAGGCACATACAGATGTTTGAAGAACGAATGCAATAACCAAAAAACGGAAAACTTTTGAAATGATACTGATTACATACATACAAACATGTTTATGAACACATACAAGTAAATACGATTTGAAAGTACATATGTATGTAGTATGTGGTAGTGCATCAAATGACAAATGATACACCAAAATACATAGATATTTAATTCGAAAGCGCGGGGTGTAAAGTGGCGAACGTGGCGATAAGCAGCATTGAAGTTCAGCTACAACCACGAACTATTTGCATTTCATAAAAGTGTGCCATTGGCTCTACTTGCGTTTGCTACATACATACATACATACATACATACATATGCATGTAGGTATGTAGTCATATGACAAGCCTATGCTAAAACACCAAAGAACAGTTCTGTAACTTCTATTTGAATTTTGCTTGGTGGCTTGTGTCGTTGGTTTAGTATTTTGTTAAATGAAATATGGCGCGCTGACCATTTAAGTTACCAAAAAATTCTGTGGCTGTGTGTCTGCATAGCGGCATGTATGTATGTAAGTGTGCATGTGAATGCCTATATCTACATGGATACATATGTACATGTGTGTTGATGTACATAAGTATTTGATAGGTTAATTGTCTGAATACAAAATAAATTAAGCATCGAATGATGAGAAATGTTAAAAGGCAATTAAAGGCAAATGAAGTAAAACTCAAAATTCTTTTAAAATGTGTATTTGAATTTTTATACGTACTTGCACGTCCCACCATTTGGACGGCGCGGACGCCTTTCCTGAACGTTGCCACTGTTTCGATCATAGAGATACATATTTTTTGGCGTTTATTTAGTTAGAGAGGAGCGTATGAAAAGTCAATGACAGAATAATGAGAAATTCGTGTTGATACATTTTTGAATATTTTTTTTGATTTGTAGTTGAGAATGAAAACACACAAAAAATTATACATACATAGAAAACAAGAACACAAAATTTCACAAAAAAGAAACCAAACGTTTAGCACAAAAGGAAATTATGTATAAATGAGTCAGAGGATTACGAAAGAAAAATTAGAGAAATAGTACTTTAAGTTACACAATAAGAACAATAAATCAGTATTTTAACATGAAATGACATGTTATTTATACAGACATAAATACTTAAAATCGCTAGTAATGAAATTTTGGGTAAAATGGCTAAAAAATGTAATCAGAAATGAGCCACGAAGTGTCCTTACGTCAATCGGAGTGCTCCAGTACCAGTAATTCAACCCCGCAAATCATTGATCCCGTTCAATGGTGTTTGCTACACTTTATCGTGTTTTAGTTATTAAATCAAACACCAATTATTATTTTTCCGATGCAGTGTCTAATTTTTCATATCAGAATTAATATGCACACACTTTTATTATTTTATGGAAATATCTTGAGCGCTTCAAGTAAATTCTTAATTATAATGCTGAATTTTCACTAGGCATGAAATGACCAAATTTTTAATGGCATTAGTGGACATTAAAAAATAGCCGTGACGTTCATCAGAACAGTCATTATGTCTGTTTCCACACGTCATTTTTGAAATGGCATACATTTTTGTCATTTCATTGCCTAGTGGAAATTCCACTTAAGTGTATATGTACATATAAATATATCTTAATATAACAAATACAAAATCTACCTACTTTGGTAAACTCAAAACTTACGACTATGTAGTTGTCGAGCATACCCAATGCCGTGTTAATTTCAATTCAATATCTTTAGAATAAAGCTATATTGGGGAAAAAACGAGAACGATTATTTACCACGTATAAATACTATATTTGAGTTGTGTTTGGCGAAAGTCCTAAAATAACTGTTCTGCTGAGGAAGAACCTCGTTTTTCTCAAGATGGCTCAGATAACACAGCATTGTGAGTCCCTCAAAATTGCTCAAAATGAAAAGAAAAAAATCGATTACGCCGTGATGATCAGTCCGTCCGTTTGTGCACACGATAACACGATTAAAAATATAGAGATATCTTAACGAAACTGGATGCGTGTATTTCTTTTGAGCTAAGGACGAATGGTATTGAAACTGGGCAAAATCGGGCAATAAAGACTCCTAGCTTCCATGTAACGGTAGTTTGCAGAAACACTTAAGTAAACTGCGGTAGATCAGTAACTACTAAAAGTTTTTCACTCAAAATTGATATTTACAATAATCTCTTGGACAATAACCACGCCCACTTACTTACGGTAATTTAGAAAAATACAAAATTGGCAATAAATTAGTAAATACTGAAGCTAATTTGCTCACAATTAATGTTGGGAATAATTTTTTAGCAAACACTACGATTATAACAATTTTTTGGAAAATGGGCGTGACACTGCCCACTTTTGACCACATTTTTGTATCTCGGCAACCGTTGCATCAATTTGCACCAAACTCGGTACAATTATGGTACTTGTAAAAAAAAAGCAAGATATTAAAAATTTTTGAAATCGGACTGTAATTTACGCCCACTTTTCATATAAATGCAGTTTTCAAAAATGTCGAGGCTTCGATATTTCGAAATCTAAGCACGCTAATTTACTCAAAGTTGATACTCACAACAATTCCAATTTCCCGCGAGTAGTTTTCTAGCTTTTGAATTTTAGATAAAAACACAAAATTTCATCAAAAACTGAATTTAATATGTTATTATGTAGGTGTAATGGAACAATCACGGTGTATACTCCAGCAGTTGTCAGTCGGCATATGACGATCCCATCATCTTTGGTACCTCACTTCTTTAGGTCGAACCGGTCCTGGTGTAAGGTTTCAAGATTATCTGGGAATTTTGTCAAAATGAGTGTAGTTAGTGTACTTTGATGGACTCATGAGATCCGAAACTTTTAAAGCTCTCCATCATGTCGCTTCCGATTTTGAAGCAGTTAATTTACTTATAATTTCCCAAAATATGTTTGGTTACTTCAACAAATGGAACCCACGCAGGATGCTCGTAATCGTTCGTCGAACTTAAGAAATCAGAATACTTTATTAATATCTAACATTGCTCATTTTTGTCTAGGTCGTAATAAATAATTCATGTGGCCCAGCTTCAAATGCAAACTAAAGTTGATTTACGATATTCTACCAGAATCAGGCATTCCACATCTGAACGAAAAACAGTATAATTTTCTGAGTGAAAAAATGGTGGCAAGCCTTGTTCTCTTGTACGATAAAACGTCACTTTTTCACCTGGCGACAACAAGTGTTTTTGTTTTAATCTTGAAGCCAATATTTCTGCACAACATTTGATTCTTCTTGGGTGAAAGGTTTAAGCTTTGTAGACGCTATGCCTTCGAAATTCCTGTCTCTGCTCACTTCACCGAAGGTTTTTTCATCAGCCTTAATTAACACCATTCAAATTAGAGCTTCTCGAAACCTTTCAGCTGTGTATTCACCACAAATGTAACCAAATACATTTGGCTCATTGATACAACTACTACGCGATAAAGACATGATACTAAAATTAATTTATGTGAGTGATATTTTTTTAAAACTCTTATGTTACATTGTTATGGCGGAAAAAACGTGTCCACAAGGATATTTTTGGCGTTCTAACTCAATGCTGCTGGAACAGCGATAGATATACCTTTTTCTAGATTCACAAATTTTTATTTAAAGATAAATTCCTGTGAAGTGACTATTTATGTCTAAAAACGCTCCTATACACGGAATTTTATAAGGGAGGTATTTACTAAATTATATCCTATTCGAATCGATCGTGTCGATTAGTTCTTCGATACGTCACTTGTTAGATTACTCTTCCGATCATGAACACCGCGATTCGTGTGCAGATATTACTTTTTTGTAAAGTTGTATAAACTACGAGATGTTCCTGTAAAACTGACTTAATCGTATGCTAAAGACTTATAGCCTTATCATAAAAATAAAAAAATTTATAAAGCTTATAAATTGACGTTGTCATACATTTCACACTTAATAACCATTTGTAAAGCTACTTTATTTTTTACGAATAAGAATACTGCTTTCATATACTTATACTTAGTAACTTGTTAGAGTATCTCGATCCACTATAATTTAGTAAGCATCTAATTAAGTACTTAGTATGATGTACCTTAGTTCCGAAAATGGTTTCCTTTCATTAGTTTTGTAGCCCATTTATCTCTCTAGGAATGTGTATTTTCAAACTAAATAATTAAGGGTCGCTGAACCAAAAAATAATACTGATTTATTTTTCCAAGGAAATGGCTTCAAGAAATAAGCAAAAAAAATCTAGAAACACAGAACATATAATATATATGTGTTGATGAATTCATCACTGTAGATGAGGAAGCTAGGGCTATTGGGTCCTTCCAACCCTACAAATCTCCGATTCGTATGGAACATCACACAATAACGTGGCGCTAGCGCCGAGTAAATGGAATTTTCATTTTTGACAAGACGTTACGTGTTCAAGTTAGATGCAGAAGAAGGAAAGAAAGAGAAAGGAAGATGAAAAGAAGGTGAAAGAAGAAACGAGAATAAAAACGAGAGGAAATGAGAAAACGCCAGAGATTGCGCCGCGTTGATTTGAGGATAGCGCGCACCGGCACCCGTTGACAATGGAAAACGCAACGCTTCGCGCTCCTATTTAGAGACGCCAGTAAGCGTGGAAGACGGGTCACAACCAGAGAGTTTAAAAATACTTCTAACATAATATCTAAAGACAAAATACAAATTCTTTACATAGAAAGTATTTGAAATACAAATCCAAAATAAATAGTATGTAAATACAAATTACAAAACACGTATTTTGAAAATACAAATAAATTTGAAAATACTTTTGAAATCACATGTATGTACATAATGTCACCTGAAATGCAAAAGGCCGTACCTATGAAAATATATATCTAAATTCACTTTTTCAATGATTATGATTCATTTCATCAAATTGCAAGTCCCAACCTCACAATATTGCGCCCTGCGAAGGTCCGTTATTCACTTCTCAGTGAGCGTAAAAAGCAATGAAAAAGTGATGAGAGGAGAATGAGTAAAATTTTATTTCCGACTCTAAACTTTTAAGGAAAATTATTACTGATATGCGGAGAAGCAGGCTAGATGAGTACGATTGGAATCAGGGACCGAAAATAACAGTTATTGATGAAAACTCTCATGAAAAAATTCACTGATAGGGAAATGTTCTACAACTAAGTGATAAATATCAATCGATTTCTTTTTTCACCGAGACTCAAATTTGAAAATAAATTTTTATTTGCAATTTTTATGCAAAATCAAAAAGAAAAATAACACTTATTTTTGATTTTTATATTATATGTCCTAGATAACAGTTATTAAAGACTTTTATTTCTAAAACTTGACTTTTAAAAGTCATCAATATAAACCAGTCACCGACTTTTGTTTTTAAAAGCATTCGTATAAAAATCATTAACATTTTTCGCAGTTAAGAAGGTGCTGGGAAACAACAGTTTACTACGACTTATACAAATGACTTTTATAAGTATTATTTAAAAAAATAAAGGTCAGGACTTAATTTTTATTTATGACTTTTATAAATAAAAGTCTTCAACAACGGTTATCTAAGATATATAATTTAAAAATCAATACCAACTGTTATTTTGGATTTATAAAATGAAAGTCAGAAGCAACGGTTATTTAAGGAGTAATTAAATAAAAATCAAAAATAATTGTTAGGGACCAATTTTTGTAATAAAAACTGTAACTGTTACGGTCCCTGATCGGAATAGTTATCTACAATAACAAGCATGGCTATATAAAACGCGAGTAATTCGCTCGAAGCTCCAGGTGGCATTAGAGACAGTCCAGAAC